CGATAGACGACTGGCCGCGCAGATTGAAGGCCTGTATTCAAAATCACGGAGGTCATTTTGAATAAACTTTAGTGTCATAAGAATCTATGTTTTGTTAAGTTCATTTTGGTATATGAATGGTTACATAATGAATAAACTTGTTTCAATTATTTTATATTAAACATGTGACAGAATTTATGACCTGACTAGGTATATTGAGACCTTAGAACTTATATCTCAAGGTGGGTGGCGCATTTACGTCATAGATGTCTATGGGCTCCAGTAACCACTTAACACCAGGTGGGCTGTGAGCTTGTCCACTCATCTAAGCAATAAAAAAAAAAACAAAAGAACGTAAAGCTAGGTAATCCAGACGCTTAGGAATAGAAAACGACATAATGAATGAAATACACAATTGTTCGCATATTACTTCTCTTCATTCATGAAAGTAATATGCGAACAATTGTGCATTTCATTAGAAAAATTGGTACCTACCTGCCTGCGGGATTCGAACACTGGTACACTCGCATCGCTGGATACAGATGCACGGGACGTCTTATCCTTTACGCCACGGCGATAACGTAGAATAATAAGCGTTAAGTAGGTATTCCAAACATTAAAAAAAAACAAAGAAACAAAGCAAGAAATGGTAAAATTTTAATTATGTCTACTACTCGCAAAATTAGTTAGTGTTAGATTTATATATTACTAGCTGACCCGGCAGACTTCGTAGCAGGGTTGTTGCGGATGCAAAAATTTAGACATCCGCGGATGCAGATGCGGATGCGGATTATTAGAAGTACACATCTGCGGATGCGGATTCGATGCGGATGCGGATTTTGGGATTTTAAAAGGATAATTATTTATTTATTTTTGAAATATCCTTTTAAATTCCCTTATTTTAAACTTCCTATATTTTAAACTGAAAATCAATTTAATTTTAACTTTTTATTTATTTAATCATATTATTAGAACAAAATTACACCAGTTTTTAGTTTTACTTATGACACAACAGAATTTTAAGCTTCTAGTTGCATAATAAAAAAATCTTNTAATAATTAAAGTTAAAGATTGGTGAATTATATTTAATAAATAGCAATATTGCAGCCTTCTCAGCTTCCAACCTGTTTCTTAGTGGATTATATATTAACCCAGCTCCACTAAATAGTTGTTCGCTGGGAACACTGGCTGGTGGAGGTGATAAATATCTGCATGCTAATTTGGAGAGAATTTTAAATTCACAACGGTTAACTTTCCACCAATTAAGTGGATTTTCATCTAAATCTAGTCTTTTTTTGTTACGATAAATAACTAATTCTTTGCGGAGAAGAGCATCGGGGCTACTCTTGTCCGGTTCTCCTTCACCTTCATCTTCGCTCGATGAACCTAACATCATGGCAAGATCGCTTTTTAAGCAAGTCTTCTTACTCATTACTGGATGTTCCTGGTTCAGGATCGAGAGAATCTCCCATTCTCATTCTTTTTGTTTTTTCCGCCGGCGACTTAGGAGAATCAGGCACGACAGGATCATTCACCATCTTTATTATTTCATCTTTTATTTTTTCTTCGGTGACTGGTTTGAAAAATTTATGCTTATAGCGAGGATCTAAATATGTGGAAATTGCATATAAGTTGTTATCTTCCAAAGAAGAAAATTTCGCTGAAAATTGTGATTTCAGATTAGAAACTGCCAACCGAATACTATCACTTTCTCGTGGTTTTGTTAAATAGACGTCAAGTTTTTTCAAAAGCATTTGTATCTATCATAGGAATCACAGATGATATGAGTGCTTGAGAGCTGCTCATTTCACGAGTGGCTTCTTCAAACGGTTTCAATACTTCAAGACAGCATTCTATTACTTTCCACTCTTCAGGCAAAATTGATTCAATATTATGATCATTGGCATAAAGACTTAATGCATCTTTTATCTTCATAAAACGCTCAAACATGTAGAATGTGCTGTTCCAGCGCGTCACACAATCCTGGAATACTTTAAGATGTGATTGATTAAGTCTGTCTTGAATTTTTTCAAGTTGCTTTTGAGCAATGGTGGAATGGTTAAAATGAGAAGTAATTTTCTTACATTTTTGTTTGACGGCTTCTATGCATTCCTGCGATCGTAAACCATGCCGTATAACGATTTGTAACTTATGAACGGTACAATCTAAATCATTTAGCAATGCTAATCGCATCCCTCTTTTCATATTAGAGCCTTCATCTCGTATCATGCAATGCACTTTTTCATTTGAAATATTCCATTCAGCAAGCATTGTGTTAAATTTTTCTGCAATGATATCACCAGTATGACGGTCATCAAAAGTTTCGCATTTTAACACAATTGACGATCGTTCAAAGTTTTCTGATACTCCGTGGCAAGTTAGGCTAAGCAAAGAAACGCCTGAGCTGGGATCTGTCCAAATATCAGTAGTGAACGACTTATAATCATATTTTTCAATTAATTCTTTAACTTTTGCAGCAAGTTTTATGTATAGCTCATTGCACACGAAATCAGTAAAAAAATTTCGTCCCCTAAAATTATACTTCGGTGCTAACTCTTGTATGAGACGACGAAATCCAAGTCCTTCCACAAAGCTAAAAGGTAAATTTTGAAGCGCTATCATTTCGCCAATGAGTTTGTCAATCTTTTTT